CATATTCCCGGCACGTGAAAGTGGCCCATTGCGAATAAATACAATAATTTTTTGATTAAGATAATTCCGTAAAAGAATAACAAAATTTAGTTATTATAACTGCCATTTACCAATTTTCAAAGTTTATTATGGATTTCTTTGAGAAGGGGGAAGGTGCGTTTGGACTGTTCCTGGATTTATCAAAGGCCTATGACTGTCTAGATTCTAGATAGAAGGATATATTTGAAAAGAAGTTGTGGGTGTATGAGGTAAGGGGATAAGCACTGCATCGGCTTAGGTCACATCTGTTTGAACATTCCCTAATTGTAAATGTAATTAAATATGATCAGAATTATAAATAAAAAAAATTAACAATAATGGTAGCTCAGGGTAGCATTTTAGGACCCATCCTTTTTATGATATACACATATAAGCGATATATACTGTCAGAGATAATCCCAATCAAATAATTATCAATTATGCAAATGATACTAGCCTGTTAATTGGGAACAAAAGTATTTGTCAGCTGTTAACTGACAACAATTATTTTTTTGAGTAAGCAAATAGGTCGCTAAAAACAGACTAAGGGCGGGTATTATGAAACTATTTTGACAGAATAACTAAAAGTTAGCTTCTGGAATGACGTTACTTCTCATAGTAATTCCAGAAGTTAACTGTTGGTTATCTGTCGAAATCTTTTTATAATACTCGCCCTTAGTCTCAAGTCCCAACAAACCAATGCTGTACTTTTTAGAACCAAACAGTCCAATTTAGAAAAATTAGAACTTTTAGGTATAGGAAATGACAACCTAATTGTAGAAGAAAACAGAAAGTTCCTGGGTTTGTATAAATGAACATTTGGATTGGTCCTTTCATATCCGCCAATTAATAGAAAAGTTTAGTTCAGTCTGCTATGGCATAAGAGTGGTTGTTAAATATATGAATGTAAAAACTTTAAAAACATTGTATTTTGCTAACTTCGAATCCAACTTGAAATATGGAATCATTTTCTGGGGTAGAAACGCAGGTACTGAGAAATGTTTTCAGACAATTGGGAGTATCGACTATATGCTTCGTCCGTTTTTGAATGCCTCATGTTTATGCATAGAAACAAAAATTTATTCCATCAAGCTCTAAAAGTTACAGTATATGTGCGTGAAATTATATGAACATTACCTGTACAACTTAGGCGACTTTAGAGTCGAACTGCTTTTGGAGGAGAAAATTGAAAAATACTCATAAACTCATAAATAGTTAAATATGTAAATATCGGTAAGAATTATTGTGGAATTAGGATTATGTTCTTATGTATGACGATATTGGTATTGGTATTATATTTTTTATAGATAAGTAGTTTGATAGCCTCCCTATTGGGCCTCTTGAAGTAAATTCAATTGTAACCTATCTTACTGTAACAAGGTTGAAATTTGAAATAAAAATTAAAAAAAAAAAAAAATATGTATACAAATTGTTGATAAAGATAGAGAAATAATTAGGAAAATGTTTTACTTATGTGATTTTAACAGATGTAGGTAGTAATGGTAGTATCATTGCTTGTAGACCGAGTGGTAGACAAACCTTTACACAGCTAATAAGCAAAGTTGATATCTACCTAGATTACATTTGGCTGCTAAGTTTCCAGATATTTTGTGCATGACTCTGATACGATGTACCTGATTGAACATACTCTCTTAAGGCCCCCACAGACGTTCAGTTGGTTTGTGCAGGCATATCGACACGCCTGTGGATATTTAAAGCCGACTGTGCAGGCTGTTGGCCTGGCATAAGTAAATTCAAGATCTGCTTGGAATTTGGCCTGCACAAACCATTTTCACTATAAATAAAAAATATCCTTGAACTGTGTTTGTCGTTTTGTGTGGAAACAACAGTGCTAAAAACTGAGCGTGTGTGCCAGAAGCAGAGGTACAGATTAATTTGCGCAAATTGTACTGCACAGTCGGCCTGTGCAAAATACTGAGCGTCTGTGGGGGCCTTAACTCTGCAAACTGAATAAACATGTAAGTATGCCAATGATATAAAGTAAACGCCAAACAATTCACGATGAAAGTCATAAATCGCCTGATAAATGACATTCAAGCCATAAACGTAAAGGATAAAAAATTGAGATTATTTTTTAAAAAATTGACCTTTTGATAAATTCATTAAACTTTCTCCAACTTATTGATTTTCGTATCTCACCCAATTGCAGTCCATAATTGTTTAAACTAAAGCTGTGAAATTAAATTTTATTCGAATTTAATTATTGCCATATTGGTTACATTGCGTCGTATTCAGCGCGGTTGCCAACGCCAGCGCCACGCGATCTCGATTTTTTCGTGTTTTGTTGTGTTAATCTTTCAAAAAACGCAAGTTTAGATTTTGTTTGATTGTTTGGTTTATTTTACGGTGTGGTGTTCAAGTTTTCTTTATTTTAACTCAAGTTACTAGTAAACCGAGAAAATTGCAATATTAGTTTTACCACGTTTTACTTCCTTCCATCAGAATCTGGCAACGCTGCCCCTGTTCTAAGTCATTTAAAGGCTATGACGTTCCTCCGAAATTGTTTGGCGTTTACAATAGTAATATTCTTTCGTTCTGAACGCGATGAACAAGTGAAACTGAATTAAATGAATCTGAACAGACCAATCACTTCAGTTTTACTTTAGTTTTGTTCAGTTGTTACAAAAGAAGACGTTTATTTACATTCTTTGTAAATGAAGGAAGTGATCGGCCATCCAAGGTTGTGCTTGAGGGGTGAGGGGACAGCAATCATCCGTTCACGTTATTCACTTTAGAAGGTGGAGCGGGGGAACTGACCGGAGACGAAAGAAGAAGCCCACAAGTGAACGCAATCAGATAAAGTGAAAGCAATAGGTTTGTTCAGAACGAGAGAATACAGCTTATAGATGATCATGCAATTATTGCAACTTTATCATCATATCATTTTAATAACAAAATGAATGCTAAATGTAAGATGATAGCTTAGCTGTAGACAGAAAAGTTAGTTATGGATAAGGGGTTTTTCACCTAACAAAATTTGTACACCGATTAACAGTACTAACTGAGATATTTCCATGTATTAACAGATATTTCTATGTACCTAATAACAAGTTATTGCCAACTATTTCCATGTATTAAAAAAATATTTCCACATATTTCCAGGTATTTCCCTAGTATTATCACATATTACCAGGTATTGCCATGCTTTTGACAGACAATCAAATGTTTGTCTTGCCAGAAATCTGTGTTTTGACATATTCACAGGTATCTACATGTTATTAATGGGTATGAACTAATGACATTAACATATATTGCCTAGATATCTACAAGTATTGACATATATTACCTACATAATTACCAAGTTGATATTGCATAGTATTGACACTATTGACATAGTATTTACCTGGTATTGACATATATTAACCAGTGATTTGTACACCGATTAACAAAGTAAAAAACCCCTCGGTTATGGAGCAATTGGATTAAAAGAAAGAACGGGATGTACTTCTGGATTTCTCATAGAGTCTTGTATCTCATATCACATATCACCAGAATTACATCAAGATAGGGTTGAAGAAATACGTGTTTTTTTATTCTTAAACAAAACAGGTTTTTCATCCCTAAAAACGTGTTTCAAATAAAAATACGTTTTCAACTATGCAATTTATCTACCAAATATTATTTGGTGTATGTAAACTCTATGCTAGCAAATGGTTATAATCAATAATAAACTGAGAATTAGAAAGAAAAAAAAACAGATTTTTGAAAGCCATTGTAAAACATGTAGATATTAAAATATAAAGCCATGAAATAGTTTCAAGCATAACAACTCTGAAGATGTTGGGGTTAAAGGTTCTTGCTTATGTTTTTATTTATCAATTAAAGTAAACAGACCAAGACATAGACACTAAATGCATACATCCGGAATCAGAGGAGGCCCTAGTAAAAATCCCCTCTGATCCTGAGTTTCAATTTCTGAGCCAAACAAATAATGTATTCAGATTTTTTTCTAGCAGTTCAAGGCCCAATGGTATTTAGCTTCTCTCAAGTACTCTGGCACATTTTCATGATTATAAATAATGTAGTCAATAAGTTGGAACAGGTCCAAAAAATTTTTGTAAAACATAAATTCCAAATTTTTTACAACTTCTACGTTACTCTGCATATAATATTCATTCTGTATTTAGAAAATTCGTTTACATGCAAAATTCGTTGGACTTGAACAAGCTTATTAAATAGGGTATTTCTCCAGTTTGTTGTCCAGACCTACACTCACAAAGTGGACTTATTTTATGTAGGTACTGATTAAGCCTACCAGCTTCTACCAAAATAATTATGACAAAAAATGCTTCATAACTAGAAAACAATTTGCATTCTCATTTCCAGTAAATTTAAGGGGCAAATGGGATAGATGGTTCAGATTCTGTTCTATTTCATTCATACTCACAGCATAATAATTATCAAGTCTATTTATTTTTGAATTGCATTGAAACAGTCAGAAAACTAGTTTCAACCAATGAAATTCACTCTGACTGGTTCGTGATTTCTGCCAAACAATCAACTGCAATTGGGCAAGCCCCTCAATAAATAAAAATATGAATCGTTATGAAGAAAATGTACTGCAGAGAATAGCCTCTGATAAGCAACCAATAATTGAATATGTCTAGTAAAAAAACAGTTAAGTCTGTAATAAAGGCTTCAACAGCCTTTTCAACATTTTTGACTCGATGTTTGACATTCAATTCACAGCTGAAAATATGAAAAAATATGCTGTATATTATTTCTAGGTACCTAGGTAGTTTTATCAGTTTTATGAGTAAAATATTTTTCAATACTAATTCGGATTTGTGGTCTGTTAATCTTCGAGCTGGTAAAAAAGTATCAAATAAATTGCATACTATTATAAAACAAAATTGTTATGAAAATTACAAAAAAAGACAAGCCACAGAAATTGTTTGCTAACATTTCTACGTTTGTCTTTTAGTAGCTAATCTATTAATGTTAGAAACAAGTTGACTTACCTCCATATCAAATATGCACCTCCTCCCAAAAGAAGTACACCAACAGCACATAAAAATCCGGCTAATATGCCAGCCCATAGTTCTGTAAGATGTTCAGATGGCACAAGGCAGCCTTCGGCAACAAAAACTGATTCAAGCCTAGACTTTTCGCCCTTAACCAAATTTCCTGTACGGTTACTTTTGGAAGCAGCATAAACCTGAACTTCATAGCGAACTTTGGGTGTTATATTGTGGAAAACATACTGAAAAAAAATCAATGTCAATTCTAGAACAAACTTAATTTCAACTTACAGATGAAGATATGAAGTTTTTCTCAGTGGGCAGGTCCATGTGCTGAATAAGAACACCACTTTCAAAAATGTCAATGTAGTACTCATCGATGGAGTCAGGAAAACGAGCGGATCTGTTGAATTCAACCATGATAGAGTTGTTGTATTCACATGAAATATTGGTCAATATTGGAGGGCTGGGTCCCATTATGTCAGTGCGGCCTAAGACGGGAGCTGATAGATTTCCTTCATGTTTGGCAGAGAAGGCTTTAACTTGGATGGAGTATACAGTGTCTGGTTCTGAAAAAAATATAATATATTGCCAACATTCTGCTTTAGGTATAAAGGATGTGTCATAACTCTGGGCTAATAGAAGTACCCCAACACTGTTTTGTCTAAATTTTCGTAATGCCAATAGTCGGCCCTGATCAAAACAACTTTTATAGGCATAATGTTACCAGTTCTTGGACAAAAAACTTTTTTTCATTCTTCATATGCATCTAATCAGTGATGACACCTGAATGGTATCTGAAAACTTATAAAGCTGGGTATAGAATATTCTACACAAAATATGCTTAGAATTTCTCGTAAAATCAAAAAATAAGATAATATAGCAGTGATTCATTTGAAATAACGAAGTTTATTCTCAAGTTTATGGTACTTCTACTCCAACTGGAAGCAACAGAGTATTGTTTTAATGAAATTCTGCATTGATATCAATAATATACATCCCCAATACCTCAGCTAGAGCTTGGTAAGTAATCTTGTGGTCACCCAGTATAGGTAAGTACTTATGTAGTTATAAAAGTATGTAAACATTTTGTCCTTGGTCATTTTATTCCACGTAAACATGGATACACATAAACAGTGCATAAATCCTGCTTTTTAAATGCCCATAAAATCACAACAAATAATTAAAAACAGTAATTATTTTTCTCGCAATATTTAGTCTGCTAAAATAATGAATCATTGGAAATTTGATAATGATTAGCCATAGGTAGTTACAGAATAACCTCGGGAATAACACCATATTAGTAGATCGATTGTTTTTGAGCAATTAAAAACTTAATGACTGAATGGCAAATAAATGTCAGTAAATTTAGTGGTTCACTGAATTGGAATGAGAAAAGAAATGAAATATTGAAAGCTGAAAATTATTTTTCGCAGAAAAACTTGACTACTATAGTTTACCTATTCTAAATTGAACCACTTTATTTTCAAGTTATGTATAAGGTAGTATCAAATATTAGGTACCTTTGGCGTGAATAAATACTCAAAAAACCTATAGAAATGTTTTGAATATTCCCTACTAGAAACTACAATCGACAAAATGAAATACTGGTTGTCGGAACGAAATTTCGAAAAAATTTCTTCATGTTTATTTGCTTGGGGTAGCTTGGGCGACGCGACGGCGTGACGTCTGCGGTGTAGTTTCACAGTAGTTTGTTCTTTTTGTCAGAGGTGGAGGCAGGTTTATACGTGTGTATATTTTTATGAAATAATTGTTTAAAATTTTTAAAAAATATCTCCTAAACGGCACTGGGGCATGTGTATTTCAAAATATCTCAAATAAATAATAAATATAAATTAAATTTTACGTAGAATAATATCTAAATTATATTGATTTATTATATTATGAAACATTTTTGGAAACCTCGCCGCCTATGCTTCATAAAGAAAACGCCGACTGTTGATGGAGAATTATTTTTTGTGGTGGTTCAATTGAGAATAGATAAACTATACCAAAGTATAGATATCCAGCAACATGGACATATCGAAACCTGATTCCAGAATAGAAACACAAAGTCTTCCTCCACAAATACACTGATCAAAACGAAAAAGGACCCACTTCAGTAATTTAATATAATTTCTGTATTGCATTAAAGAGAAAAATGTCTGTTTTCCCAGCAGAGACGCAGTTACATATGAAACCAAAAAGGTTGTTTCATGGCGGTTTTTTTACTTATTCCATAACAAAAATTGTGAATTTGCACTCTCACATAAGCTTTGTTCCATCACAGCAGGAAACCGTAGTGTCAGGATTCTGCGTAAAGCCTAAAATATGTGCATAGAATCCGAAATTCGTATATTCAAATAAAAAGATAAAAACGCTAAAAACTACGAACATATTCAGAAAAGGCTTTTTTTTCGTTTTGATCAGTGTATTTTAATAAATTAAATACCCCTAACCCTACATGTTTCGAGACCATTTAAAATCTGCTCATCAGGGGCAAATTAGATCAAATGTCAGAAAAAGGGATTTTTTTTTATAATTTCGGCTGCCAGATCATGCTGCAAAAAAGAAATGAATTCAACCTAGAATAACTTTTGGTATACATGTTGGATACACAACGCTAATGTAATGCCGGTTTTCCACCAAACAGACAAAACAAAAACACAACCCAAACTCAAACTTTTCCCAAACATTTTCAAGACTTGCATGTTTTGAGACAGTTGGAGTTTTGTTTCGCCGAGATAACATAACGTAGTCCGCTTGATGGAAACAAGAGTTTTGTGTTTATTTCAGTTTTGTTTTTGTTTTAAAACATGTTTGAAAACACAAACTCAACAGTCCGTTTAGTGGAAAACCGGCATAAGGATTTTCATTTGCATATAAACAGGGTGTCCCAAAAACAACAAAAAAGGTAAGTCAAAGCTAAAAGCTTTTACCAATTTTTTATTCATTTTATCTATTGAAACTAAGAGATGCAGGTCTTAAGGCGAAACTATGCATTTGCTGATGATACAGTTTTACTTTACACTGATGGAAACGAAAAGCAATTAGAGGATAATATAACATAATATAGGTATGACAGCTGATTCAGATGGAGCAGAGCAAATTCATAGATTATGTTCAGGTTTGAGATGTTTTATTTGATCTACATAAAAAAATATACATTTTTCCCTTACAGGCGTAGATCACGTCAAAATAAAATTACTACATGTATAGTTGCCTGCCTCTATAATTGAGAGTCTAATAAAAGCTTGATATTTTTTTTTGTGGCTACCTCAAACCGCCATAGTTTTTAGTGCAGGCGCATGGTTTTCTGAACCGTTGTAATAAATAATTTAATAGATTCGTTATTTTTTCAAAATAAATGTTTCAAAATGTTGTAAAGGGCATATTTTAGCTTACATCCATTTTCTATTCCTTTTAAAGTTGCAAAGCAAACTAGAACGAAACAATAGTTGAAAAAGTCAAAAAGCATATTATGTTTTCAATTGAGCTCTTGGACTAGAATCGCATCTTTCCAGCCGATTGTTTTTAAGGTGAGTAATCAAAACATCGAAGTCAGGGCTAAAATCTAAATGTTCCAGACATGCAACTTAATTTAAAAATGGATTTTCATTTCAATGAAAAGAATCTGATTTAGTAAAGAGAACATCAATTTATGTCAAAACCCTGATTTAAATGAGAAAATCAACATTTACCTTTAAAAATAAATAAATACTGTTGTGAAACGCAAAAACGAAACGGATCTGATCCTGGCTAACAAACGAAATCAGAGCTGGTGGTGTTTTGTAGGCATTCTCTTGTTTTTTGTGGTCTTTTTTCATAAATGTAAATAGTATCAATTATATGTGGCAGAGATAGTCTGTTCTCACAGAAATCACAGAGCGTTTCTGATTGGTGCAAATCGCCAACAAACAGTTTTCTGGCTATTTTCAACTTTTCAACCAACTGGTCTGTGATTTCTGTGAGAACAGATTAATAGAAATGAAATCTTATAAATCTGTCAGAATTCTCCTTTATATATTTCAATAAAATTTAATTATTTATTGTTTTGTTATATACATAAGTACATACATTCACAAACACGAAGTAATACGACGATTAATATGGCTTCCTATTTCAAGTGTAGGTATATTATAATTAGTTATCTGTTATAAATATTGTATGTTACATTACTTGAATAAAAGATTTGTTTAAAAAAAAATTAAAAAAAATACTGGGTGCAAATCGAGCTAAAGTACAGTAAATGCCTTTTGTTTAATGGAAACTTTCTGTTTGTAATGAACTTAGAAACCATTTTATTGGATTTACCGGTTAATTGTAAGGTCATTTTGTCAGGAGATCTAAATATTAACTTTATTGACAACCAATCACCAGCTACTCTGGCATTAAAGGACCTACTGTGCTCTTATGGTTTGTCCATGCATGTTGACTCTCCTACCAGGGTAGCTGAAGATTCTGCTACTGTTATTGACTATTTTTGTACTAACTTATCCGAGAACGGGGTTAACTGTGAAATGGTTTCCACCCCTGGACTGTCAGACCATGAGGCATTGTTAGCCAACTTCTCTCTACTCTGCACAAAACAAAAAATACCCCAAAGATATGGGAGGATTTTTTCAAGTCGGAATTTTGAAAGATTTAATACTTGTTCTTCCTTGGTGGACTGGGAGTGTGTGCTTGCTTCAGAAAAGCCTCTGGAATTGTTCCATACACTGTTGCACAATACGTTTGCCAAGAGCTTTCCAGTGTGCAATATGAGAGCAAAAAAGCCCAAAAAAAACTGGATTACGAAAGGCATTAAGACTTCCTCAAGAAATCTTAAATCTTTACATTTCATCAAAAAGTTTGCCGATAGTCAGTATTTTATAAATTATTATAATGAATATCGGAAAATTTATAGGAAAGTTATCGGATCAGCAAAATTACAATACTATCAAAATAGAATCTCTAATGCAAAAAAACCCTTCAAAAGAGGCGATGGTCCATTGTGAACGACCTAAGGGGCAAGCATAGCCATGCAGAAAAGTCAGCTGATATTCAGCCAAACATTCTAAATGAATTCTACTGTTCAATTGCGAAAAAAATTTCAGACAAGATAGAACCCGCCTTAGATCCCCTCAGTTATCTTAGCCATTCACACATCGATGAAACATTCACTTTAACAGAAACAACTGTAGAGGAACTTAAAATCATAATCAGAGACATAAAAAATAAAAACTCTGCTGGAATAGACGAGATGTCTGTCAAAATCTTTCAAAACTTAAATGATAATAGTCTCTATGTGCTGTCACAGGCCATCAACAAATGTTTTGAGGTTGGTGAATTCCCCGACTCACTTAAGGTTGCCTTGGTGGTCCCCATACATAAAGGTGGCTCCTTCAAGGACCCAGCTAACTTTAGACCCATTTCACTTTTAAATACCCTGTCAAAAATAGTGGAGAAGGTGGTGAAGAATAGACTGACTGTGTTTTTATCACGTAACAATATAATTAGCGATTGTCAATTTGGATTTCAGTCATCTAAAAGTACTAGTGATGCTGTATTCTGTTTCCTGGAGCAATTGTATTTGAAACTGAACGATAGAGAGGTTGCAGCTGCGGTTTTCTGTGATCTCTCTAAAGCGTTCGATTGCGTTAGACATGACATACTCTTGAATAAAATGTATATTTATGGAATTCGGGACACTTCATTGAAATTCTTTACCTCAATTTATCAAAAAGGACCCAAATGGTTAATAACAGGAGTTCCATATCATCAGCCTTAGCAATTGACACAGGAGTTCCACAAGGTTCTGTCCTGGGACCTATTTTGTTTTTGATGTATGTTAATGACCTTTTTGAATTACCACTTGAGTGTATGTTCACTGGTTTTGCTGACGATATTACGCCCCTTTGGCACCATAAGGACCCACTGCTCTTGAAAGAGATTGTTTCTAATGACCTCCATCAAATAAAAGCATGGTGTGATTCAAATTTTCTAAGTTTTAATATTGAAAAAACCAAAGTTCTCAGTTTTAAATTTACATTTGATAATCTTCAACTTGGAAATCAGTCAATCGGTCTCAGTCAGGATACTAAATTTCTTGGAATTAATATTGACTGCAATTTAAAAATTTTCCAGCATATAATCAACTTAAATAAAAAAATTGCAGCGGGAGGCTATGCTGTACGCCAAACGTGCTATGAATTGGGTCAGTCTATGGCTAAGGCCACTTATTTTGCTCTTGTTGAGTCCCACTTGCGCTATGGAATTGCTTTTTGGGGGAACTGCAGTAAGTGTTTGTTTCAATCAGTGTTTACTCTTCAGAAACGTTCTGTTAGGTATATTTTTGGAGCAGGTCTCAGAGATCACTGCCGAGAATTATTTAGGAGGGGGGGAATGTTAACCTTAGTGGATCTCTTTATCTTAGAGACTGTCTGTTTAGTTCACAAGAGGTACCAGGGTACTACACATGCGCACTCCTATCCAACAAGGAACTACAACCTGATACCTTTGCCTATACCAAGGTTCTCTCTAACTCAGGATTCTCTGATTTATAAAAGTATACAAATGTACAATAAACTACCATTAAATTTAAGAACGGATCAAAATTATAAATCTTTTAGAAATAAGGTTAAAAGTTTATTGGCAGATAAAACATTTTATTCTCTTGACGAGTATTTTGATGACAACCTTTAACAGGATCTTGTGTCTGTATCGTGATGTAAGTGTCTAAAACTCAACTTTATGTTTTATGTTTTATACTACTTGTAGGACAGGGTCTACCTGATTTAGTAATAGATTCACAATGCCATAATAACTGATGTGTTCTAAATTTTAAAAATGTTACAAATTTACTAATAAGTACTGAATTTTTCTTTTATTGTTAGTCATTTTACCACTTGCTAGTGCCACTGCTGTAGTGTCTTTTTTACTTGTTATCTGTTCTTATATTTTATATTATTAAGGATGTTGCTTTGTCAATAGAATGTACTATAATTTTCTGAAAATAAAGCATATTTGAAATTGAAATTTGAAATTTAATCATAACAATTTTGCTTCCCAATTTTGTACCAGCCAGGGTAACAACCTTATATTATTAAGTGAAAAGAAACCCTAAAATGAATACCTAGCCTAGCTATTGTTAAATCAACTGCTAAATGAAATGTGTATCATATTGTTTGACTGATTTCATTTGCTATTCACAATTAACTAGCTTATCATTTGATTGAAATCTGATTGTTCAATTCTTAGGTCAGATTGAAGCTTCAAGAATCTAAACATCAAGTCGAAGTCATTACATCTCTTACTATGAAAATGATTGGGAATTTTCGAGTAATTTTCAATTAAAATAAGTAAAAGAATTTCACAAAAATAATAACATAATTTAATTTAGGCATATAAGGATGGACTTGCAAAAAAAAGAGCTTGACTCAGGGTTTTGTTGAAAAAAAAAGCTACCATACCATGTGCTCATAATTCCAGTTTTAGATACTAGATACCAAACTAGGTATTTTTTTTTTATGCTAGGAGGTAAGTATAAACTCGAGTATAAACAATACCTAACTGTTGATAGTTTTTGATTTCTATTATTCCTAAGCCTAAAAGGAAGCATAGAGCCTGCCTGATAGAATAAAACTAGTTGCAAACAAAATAATATAAAATTAAGTACTTACTTAATGCGTTCAATATATAGGTCTTAACTGGCTGCTCTGGGTTAGTTTTATCAGTCCTAGTATCTGTATAATTGCCTTGTGTAAAGTAAATTCTATATCCTCGCAGTAATCCATTAGGTTTATCAGGAATTTGCCATTGCAGAGTCAAAGAAGTATCTGTAGCATTTTTGATGGTTAGGTTCCTTGGACTGCTGGGTGCTAAAATATCAAGATTGGAGGTGTCATTGCCCTGTGTAATTTTGGCAGTAACGATTTCTGTGACACTGGGTTTAATAGTCGTAAATTGAAAACGAGTCAATTCTTGTGCAAGTATCACAGGGCGGCAAAATAAAGCAAGGATAATATAAACAAAAGCATAGCCCATCCTAGAGGCAATCAGTTTTCTAGCCGAAATAACTAGTCTAAATAGGTTTTTTTCATTTTCGGGTCGAGGTAAAGTCGCACTAGCATTATTTGTGGTTTATACGTTTCAATACGCGGAAAAATTGTTCGTTAAACTTGCTAAAAATAGAAAAATAACAGTAAAGTGTGTATTACTGCATTATTTGAGAAGGGAGCACCACCCAACCCAACCACACTTCAACTGCAATTTGCAAAGCAAACTGCATCATTGGGTGAAATGTCTGTCGGAGCGAGGTGGGGAAGCGGCGGCGGCGGCGGCGGCGTTTCGCTGCTTGTCAGTCTGACTACAGTGACTTAATAAACCTTTCATACAGTCAAGGATAATACACACTACTACACAGGATTGCTCGGCCTTGTTTTTGGGATTTGGAAATCGCGGCCATAGTATTGTGTAGCACCATTGACAACGTCATCAACTACGTCGTGAGCTGTTTGCGCCAGCGGTCGTAGTTAAGAATATACATTTATGATGAAAGAATTATTTAATTTTGATTCAAAACAGGCAAAGAGGGAGAAACACCCTACGTCAAGCAAGGCGAGAAACGACACGCTGCCACGTCATGACTGGTTCTTTGGCGTGGTGGAGGCTTGAAATTTGATCTACACAGGCCCTATGAGGATAAGCTATCCTGTAGTAGTTAATCTGTGGTAGTACTGTGTATTATCCTTGAAATACCGTGGCGACAATAGTTGTATTCCTTTCTAGAGTTTGCTACTCGCTCCGGTGTTCAGGAGCCCCTAATTTGCAGGGAACAGATGCGTGGTGCAACAAACACTTTTCGAAAGGAATAGGGGCGTGAAGCCCCGGAGCTGTCCGGAGCTCCTCCTAGGTGTGAAAGAAATACAACTAATAGAGGCCCCACGTAGTCTCTATATAAAGGGAAGTGACATGGGCTACTTTTTATCCCGGAGATTTTTTTTTAAAATTATTTATCAATAATTATAAACCAACCAATGAACTAAACAAACACACTGGAAAGACGGCTGCATGCATAATTGTTTCTACGCGAGGGTTTGTGCCAGGAAGGACAACAAACAACAAACAAGAAGGATTTGCATCTCTCTCTGGCAGTATGACGGCTATTATTGAGAACCTGTTTGAAGTGTTTTGGATCATTGAGGTCAGGAAGATGAAGAAGCTCTTCTTTTTTTTACATGAATCGCAATGAGTGCGAGCGAGACAATAATCCCTCTGTATTGCTGAGTTGCATACATCAAAATTTGGCACACTAGCATAAAGCAGTGCGCCCGTTCCAGACTATTCCAGAGTGTTTGTTTAGTTCAATGAAACCAACAACCAACTCATTCGCATACATTACCCAACTTTTGTTTTTGACAACATGAAACAACGTTGCCACATTTATTTAAGTTTGCGCATTCAACCGTCGTAACTGAATTATTTTTTAGAACTCGAGAACGGCTGGACCGAGATGTTATTGATTTATACATATAAAATAGAGCCGGGTTGGTTACAGAACTCGAGAACGGCTGGACCGATTTTTATGATTTCTGTTTTATTGGATTTTTCGGTGCCCCGAATAACATGACAACTATTGAAACATTGAAACAGAAAAATAATCAAGAAAAACAAATTTATGAAGAAAATTCACTAAATATATGCATACGGCGCCATTTCTAAAAACCGATACAAAGTTGATTGCGCGGTTTGTTCCATTTTGATTTTTTGTACATTTATTGAACTAATTTTTTTTTAGTATTCATTTTATATTATTAACAAACTGCATTTAATTAAGCTAATACGTTAACACAACATTGATTCTGAGGCGGTACAAAGTTCGCCGGGTCCGCTAGTATGAATATATAGTGTTTCAATGGACGTCTATCATAAAAAATGAAAAACAGCGTACCTACCTATTTGATGGCTATTATTGGATACATCATACGTTGTTTTAAATTTTTTATGATGGATGTGCATTCAAATCCTATATTCATATTTGAAATTAGCGAGGTAAGCAAGAAAATGACGGCGGTTTTCAATATAAATATATAGGATTTTGAAGAACCAATCAAAAATAAGACAGCAATTGTCGCCACTGTGGTTTATTAGAGTCACAGGTTAGTCTGAAGATACAGTGTCGCCAAGTCGCAATATTGTGAAGAGAGTCAATAACCCTTCCTGAACTGGTTGTGTGCAACACGATTGAATAGATTTTGAATGAAAGTTTGTGAGCAATTTGACGCAAATGTTCACGAAAAAAAAATCCTTATTTGTCGTTTTAACAATTTTATTTTGCTATAAAAAATTCAATAATATTTTTTGTTTTGTTTTTCAAATGCACAAATCCAATAAACAAGCGTATTTTCAACAACAGATTGAATTAACTGAAATAATTTGGGATATTACAGATTACAGAATGGAAATTGCTGTAAGAAATTCTACAGTGACTCAATAAACCACAGTAGCGACAATGAGGAATTTGCACATTTTTTTTTTAATTCTCTTATTAACGTAAAAAGTCATTTGCCACATAAATTTCAAATTTTCAACTGATAGTTATTCTGTAAGAAAATATAGTAATTCAAAATCTCTCTCTTCGCGCCAAAACGCAGTCTTAAATCAATGACGTCACAAGACGGTATTCGTCAATAAAACGAGTCTTGTACTCCCTCTCTGTCTTACCCATTGTCCTTGTATATTATGTAATGCCACAGGTAGTTTATTTTGTTGTCAAGTTTCTCCTCGTTTTTATTCTAATTGGTGACTTCACCGATGAGTTAGCTATCTTTGTTCAGTGAATGGAAAATGACAATGATTGACACAGAATGGTGGATCCATCGGTAAAATTCGATAGGTTCGTTCCAACCCCCCGTTTTCGTATCGTCATGAAACGGTTTCGGAACTGTTAGGATCGATTGCCGGCGCATGCGTTGACCTTGCACGGTTTTATCTTGGTACAAAACAACGGGTAGTTGGAACGGTTTCATGATCGTTTTCGTAATGACGACAGTTCAAATAACTTTAACCGAGACTTTAACCCTAAATTTGTTTGTTTGCAAATTAAAATAGAAGAATATAGGATTAGGATTACAAAATAATATATAAAAAAGGAAAATCGAACAACAACGCTGATTCATTATCAAGAATCTAAAACTGAATCCTTGCAAGCTGATAACATCAAGGATTAGCAAATAGCTGATAATAAATTTTGTACTTTTTTTCACTTGAAAAAATAAAAATGCTACAGTTTTATACGTTAGATTGGAAATTGGTTGTTTAACAACAACATGAACAACAAAAACAGGTGACAAAAATTGAATTACGCATGTCAGTCATGGATCAGTCCACGCGGTTCTTGCTTTCCACTCGGGATCGAAATGACGGTGCTAAAACCAGTTCTCGAACGATCCCAGGTTTGGTTGGAACGCCAACGAAACTGTACGGTAAACGATCATCTCTCGGTTGGAACGCGTTTAACCTATGGCGCATGACCGTGACCGTACATTGTACGGTTTTTGGCTGGGTTGGAACGAACCTGATGTAAACACAAGCGTCTGACGGTTCACGTATCACGTTAACATAACCGCACTTTTGTTTGCTTAGCGCAATGAACTATAACCAAAAACTGGAATGCTAACACATAAGGACGAACGTGAAGCCTAGTGCGGCTGCTGCGGAGGGGATACCTGTTTTTGTCGCACTCATTATGTTAAATGGCGAAAATTGCTTCCAACACGTATTCCAATCGATGAAACCTGTGAAGGGAAATATGACAAAACTTTCGAAAACGTCATATGTCAGCGAGCAACAGAAAAAAACAACATTCCCCTTTGTGGCATCTGTCTTTCATGGCTACATTTTTTTGGCAGATATGGCAATGTGTGCGCATTCCAGTTTTTGACTATAGTTCATTGGCTTAGCGTTCCATGACGTCATAACCAATTTCAGAGCGTTTTCGCGCCGTTTGTTATAATCAACATTTGAATAATTATTAATTTATTAGTGGTTCAGTATAAAGAGGATTTAAATATAGAAATATACTTCTAGAGTATTTTGCTTTACTTTAAATACATTTTGACAAGAGTCTAGTCGTAGGAATAAATGAGGATCGCTGCAGTGGGCGGAGAGCTCGTATCGTACCTAATTTGTAATAAGTGCTAGTCTTTGTGTTGGTATTTTGGAAGAAACAGAGCAAATCAAAACTAACCCAAACTAACCTGTCCTCTTGATAATTAATCTTAGAAAAAAGATTCATTTGCTCCAAAAACCTACATATCGTACGTATCCTGACTAGGACACACCAGCCTGTGAAAGTAATCGTAGAAATTGAAGTAATAAAGGGCGCAAAATATGACCTAACCTATAATAACGATACATGGCTCCGCCTACCACACCGATCCTCATCATTAATTCCTACGATTAGACTCTTTTACATTTTGCATCAAAATAAAATTTTATGCAACTTCCTCATTATTGTCGTTCTAGTTTTGATTGGTTCTTTATAAAATTCTATATATTCATATTAAAAAAGAGCAAGATTAAATGACGGCATCAGGGACGTGACTTAAGCCTAGTACTCATAACTGCGAAATTCGCATTTTTTTGACATTGCTTCGACAATTTGACGTTCGATACACGCATTAAACGTCAAATTGTCAACGCAATGTCAAAAAAATGCGAATTTCGCAGTTATGAGTACTAGGCTTTAGAATTCTCGTTTCCTATTAGAAATTAGAAAGAATATGGCGGCAGTAGGACCCCTATTGTCGCCACTGTGTGAAAAAGTTTCTGTAAGGAATTGTACAGTGACTTAATAAATATTTACTACCTCACAACTGGTGACAAATGGCGAGTTCAGAAATGACATCGCAGATCCGACAGTTTTTTTTACGCGTGACTTCAAATTGATTTTATAGGTCTGTTTCGACTGTTACTGTTTCTGCAGAAATCACAAACCAGTCAGAGTGAATTTCATTGGTTCAAACATAGTTTTCTGATTATTTCGGACTGTTTTCAACCAATGAAATTTGCTCTGACTGGTTTGTCATATCTGCAGAAACAGACCTTATATAAGTGAAACAAGTGACAAATGTCGAAATTCTCATCTTTTTGCTCTTGCAGCTATTTTCCGAACTCGGCTAATGCCGACAATAGAGGTACCGCTCCTGCCGCAATATTCTTGCTAATTTTAAATAGTAATTTAGGGAATCTTAGAAGTATGCCATGCCCCTGTCGCCATATTCTTGCTCATT